CATCTGACTCTTGGTTTCAGCTTGGGTCATGATCTCATGATTCGTGAGATTGAGCCTCTCTGACAGCACAGAGCCCGCTTGGGGTTCTCTCTCCCTCCCTGTCTCTGTCTCTCTGTCTCTCTCTCTCACAAACACACACACAAAATAAACTTAAAAAAAAGAAAAATGGAAGTATTAACATAGTTAAATACAGAATAGTGAAGACAAAGCAGGGTAGAAATTCCAAATGCCTGGCTATGAACACACAGTGCCCCATTATGTGTCATCTCTGGGCAAAGATGCCCAGGCTTTGTGTGCCTCTGTAAAATGGGGGATAATAACAATACCTTATACGGCTACCTTATAGGGCTATCATAAGAATTAAATGAATAATTTAGGGGTATAAAAGGCTGAGAATGGTAACCACCTCTCAAACGCCAACTACTATTAGCACTGAATAAAGAATAATTCCAAATGACCTGAGAAGAGGGTTTCCCCATGTAAGAAAGCCTTTCCTACCTTCCTTACTCTCCGCATAATTTTCTACTAGATTTGCCTGCCTCCTCTCTAAGAATATTGGCAATTTTTTTACCAAGGTGGAAGGGAGTTGTTGGAGGAATGGTGGAGGGAGGGACAATTATTTCCCTCTAGGCCACCAGCTCAGGAAGGGCCATTTGACTCTATTCTGGGCTCAGGAGAAGGAGAATGAAGAAAGAAGGAAGCAGAGAACAGAGCAGAGAAAAAAGTGAGAACAGGAAACCCTAGAAGATGAAGGAAGATGTAGTCTGGAGACAACTGTATTTACACCAAAACCAAAACCTGACATTAGCAACAAAAAGAAATATTTAGGATGATTTATGTCTCCTTCCATCAAGAACTATAGTAGAGGGTGATGCAAGCCTCACGCTGTATCTGATACAAAATAGCACTCATAGGAGAGGCGTCTGATTCAAAACTGAGGCCAAAACATCTAATAATAAAGATTACACGTAGGCATCCATATTTTCTTAGAAAGAAAATAGATACAAATGACTCCTGGTTTCACAAATCACTGAATTTGCAAATATTTAAATATTTCTAATATTTCTCAAATGGGGTCCATGAATGAAATTATTCTTTAAAAATCATTCCCACCAACAGCCACCCTGTTTCCTTTATTCGAGAGCTGAAAATGTCTGCAAGGACAATTTACTTTAACATTTGACTTTACCTACACCCATTTGTTTATCTTGGCTATACAGTGAGAGGGAAATGTTCACCGATACTCACAAAGCAGCCACACTTTCCCTCTGGCAACCTGCAGCCACGGCTGCCTACAAGTTTTACGGCATAACCCAAGTTGGAGTTCCTCCCTTGCAGCCGAGGGATCATCCCTCACCTCAGGTTAAGTCCCGATGAAGAACCCGAAGAGCAACATGTCAAAACCTATCACTTGCATGTTCCTCCGGGTGGCTGAGTCACGGCCTCACTGGCAAGGTCTTCTTTACCAAGTCCAGGTCTTCCTTAGGGCCCTGGTTCTGTGATCCAGGCGGTGAGCAAGGGTAATATTATCAATAAGATGGGCGTGGCCTTATGACAGAAGCAGAAAAGCCTGACCTACCCAAAGTTTCTGTGTTTCTACATAACCGTTTGGTAGCACTCAGCTGGATGTCCAAGATGCAGCACACACAAGGGCTGGAAGGAGCCACTCCTGTCACTGCTACCATTTAACCGATAACACCACTGACGGCCAGGGAGGCTGCAAAGTTCCTGGGTTACGATGCTAGGTCTAAAACACCTCTCTGTCTCCCAGCCCAATGCACTTGCCTGTTTATCTTACGTCTTTGTTTCTCTTTGTCATTTCCCTTTTTTATTTCATTATATACCTAGATATGCATAACTGCAGTTCAGTTTAATAGATTCCGCCAAATGGAATGGTATGCGGTCTGAAGTGCATATTCGTGTGTGACTAAGCATACGCGCACACCCCCAAAAGCTCATTTTTAGTGTTTTTATAATACCCCACAAGCAAAAAACATTCTTAGCTAAACATAAGAATGCGTGGAAATGCTTTGAGACCAATGAACAATTATACGAGAGAAGGGTCTCAAAAGATGTGTTGCACTGCTGGGTAAGTTTGCTCTACGAGCAGAGTCAAGGTTGCGAACTGCAAACATCTCTACTTTTCTTGCCTCGAGCTGGCTATCACGTTCTGTCTGTGCCATCTGGGTGCACCAGAAGCGTACGGTGATTTTGCAATAAACGCGTGGTAACTGTAATGTCACCAAGAAGCAGAATGACAGTGCAAAAATAAAGAGAAAAAACGAGGTCAGGTTTTAAAACGAAATGTATCCTTACCCTTTGAAGTTGAGAAATTCACATAAATTATTGATATCTGATATTACTGATTGAACATGACAAGTGAAATAAAGAAATGAGGTCACTTCCTGAGGAGTTCAGCACATACACGTAACACGCACATGTACACAGACAGACAGCCGTGGTTACCCGCAGGGATCCCCCTGCTGACCTGAATCTCCATCACTGGCAGGGACCTTGTGAATGACCGCCTACGAGAGCAGTGTACTGTCGGTACCTTGCTCTTATTCGCCATTCTGTCCCCAGAATGTATTGCTGCACATGTGTCCTCAGGTTTTCTTTCCTTCCTTCCTTCCTTCCTTCCTTCCTTCCTTCCTTCCTTCCTTCCTTCCTTCCTTCCTTCCTTCCTTTCTTTTTTAGCACCAGGCTCAGATTGCCTACATGCTACAACCTGCAATCTCACAAACATGGGACCAATACCCTAGAACACTTGGGTGCCTGCATGTTAGGTTTCATTCAATACCATGCTAGGACTTTGGTAAATCATTGCCTGATGACCAGATTCCAAGAGGAAATGTACAATTGGAAGTATTTTAAAAATCACATCATCTAGGGGTGCCTGGGTGGCTCAGTCGGTTAAGCGTCTGACGTCGGCTCAGGTCATGAACACACGGTCCATGAGTTGGAGCCCCGAGTTGGGCTTGTGCTGACAGCTGAGAGCCTGGAACCTGCTTGGATTCTGTGTCTCCCTCGCTCTCTGCCCCTCCCCCACTCACACTCTGTCTCTCTCAAAAATAAACATTAAAAATTTTTTAAAAAATCATGTCATCTATTATTCCTTTTAGTTTGTCTATAAAGACACATCTATGGCTGATAAAGTTCTTGACATGGCCCTGCTTTTTTGGCCAAATGATTAATCTAATATATATGTATATATTAGATTTCTAATATGAAAATACCTCCATTTACTAAATTTATATCTTATTGGACAACTAAGGATTCCTAGATTATACTGAAAATCTGAATGCATCCAAGTATCTGACAAAGATATGGAAGTAAAATTGGATTAGGGGTCAGGTATCTAAAAGTATCTGTGTAGGGGCTCAGTAGAGATAAGGCATTGAGTTACAACTGTTTTTTGTTACTACATATTTGCTGCCTTATCCCCTTCAATGGCCATAGAAATGTTATCCTAGTTCCTCTTCCTCATCCTCTTTAAAATACAAGTGAGGAATGTTGACTTGAATTATCCAGGTAACTCTCCAGATCTGAAATATAGTTAGGATTAGCAAACACACCCCAAGGCTTTAAAAGTGAATGGCTGAAATTGTGGAAAAAGCCTAAATGTCCATCAACTGATGAATGGATAAAGAAATTGTGGTTTATACACAATGGAAGTTACTACCTGGTAGCAATGAGAAAGAATGAAAATATGGCCTTGTGCGTAAATCGTGGATGGAACTGGAGAAGTGTGATGCTATGAAATAGCAAGCCCACAGAAAAGACAGAATAGTATAGTTTTCACTCTTATGTGGATCCTGGAAGCTTAACAGAAACCCATGTGGGGAGGGAAGGAAAAAAAAAAAAAGAGGTTAGGTGGAAAGCAAAGCATAAGAGACTCTAAAAACTGAGAACAAAGCTGAGGGCTGAGGGGGTGGGGAGGGGAGGGGAGGGTAGGTGATGCATAGAGAAGAGGGCATCTTTGAATAAGCATGGTGTTAAAGGAAACTAATTTGGACTAATAAATAATAGTAAAAAAAATAAAAAATAAATAAAATGCGCCTCAAAAAAAAAAAAGAGGAAAAGTGAGTTGATATAGCATGGATAGACAAGATATAGACATCCAAAAAAAGTAAATAAGTGGTACAGGAAGGCCAGCTGCATTCTTTCACTAAAAACCTGCAAAACCTGTAGTATAAGGAACTTAATCTTTTTTTTTTATTAAAAAAAATTTTTTTTTCAACGTTTATTTATTTTTGGGACAGAGAGAGACAGGCATGACGGGAGGGCAGAGAGGGGAGACACGGAATCGGAAACAGGCTCAGGCTCGAGCCATCAGCCAGAGCCTGACGGGCCTGGAATCAACTGACCGCGAGATCGTGATCAAGTCGGACGCCAATCAACAGTGCCACTCCAGGCTTCCCACCTTTTTTTTTTAATGTTTATTTATTTTTGAGAGAAAGACAGAGCATGAGTGGGTGAGGGACAGAGAGAGAGGGAGCACAGAATCTGAAGTGGGCTCCAGGCTCCAAGCGGTCAGCACAGAAGCCAACACGGGGCTCAAACTTGCAAACTGAACCGTGAGATGGTGACCTGAGCAGAAGTCTGATGCTTAACCGAATGAGCCACCCAAGTGCCCCTAATATAAAACTAAATATTAATGGTATAATTGTATTTTCCTCCCAAGAAGTGAGAGAAGGAAAAAAGGAAGACGGGAAGAAAGACAGGCAGGGAGGATAGGAAGGAGGGAGGGAAGAGGGAGGGAAAAAGGGAGGGAAGGAAGGAGGAAGGTAGGAAGGAAGGAAGGAAGGAAGGAAGGAAGGAAGGAAGGAAGGAAGGAAGAAAATATGGAAGTGACTAAACTTTTGCCTCAGAGGAAAGAGGTGTAATGATTATCGACTTAATAATGCTTGCATCAAATACAAAGTTTCTCTTTCTACCATAAAAACATGCAAAGTAGAATCTTTCATTTTCTTCACTTATCAAAAGAGGTAGTTTATTACCTTCAAAGTCCACATCTCCAACCAGTTTTGTCTTTCCTGTCACTGGGTCGTGGACATAGTTGATACCCACGTCAATTACAGCAGCACCTTCTTTAACCATATCAGATGTGATCAACTTAGGAATACCTGAAAGCAAAACACAGTTGTAAAACACTCTGGAAAATATTTAAACTTTGTCCTTGAGCATACCAAAGGTTTATACAGCTAATGTTTTGTTGTCATGGCTTTAAAAAAATATACAACAGACACTGTTTCTAGGAAGAGACCAACGGCACTTGATCATTTCCGATGAAGCAGAAGAATAAAGGCAGCACATGGGGGCTTCTGTGCTTAAAATCCTACCTGGATTTACCCTTTCACCTCAGAGATTGCTATCAGATTTCTCCAGATGGATATCCACTAGAGTCGCATCCTTGTGTATTTCACATACTATAAATAGCATAGGGACATCATGGCTATGAAACAGGCTCCTGTTGAGGTTGGGTGGAATGAAAACTACTTGGAAATTGGAGGTAGAGACAAAGAAGGGTGAGGTGGGGTGGGGGTGGGTTGGATAAAAAGAAAAAAATGAAGTGAAAATAATTTAAATGCTCAGGGTGGTGGTAAACTTTAAAGTGCCACACACATAGTGGTATCCTATCAACTCCAAACATGAAGTGTTATTTTGAGCTTTCTTCTTATTTTTTCTTTGCTTCTTTGATTCATTATGTCTGTATATGACTTGGAAAGGTATAAGATATACTAAACTCTACTATTTCTCCATTGCAGTTGGAAAGATCGCTCTACAGAGAGCTTACATCACCATGCATTTTCTATAATTATTTTCAAACTTTATTTCAAGTACAACAGCACCAGCTAACAATGGTTAATGTTCCAGTTATTTTTGTTAATAATTAAAAACCATTCCTAAGCTTAGCGACTTAAAATATTTTATTATTACATTTTGTGGTTCTGTGGGATGACTGAGCTCAGCTGGATGGATCTTCACTGGAGTCTTTCACATAGTTGAACTCAGACAGTGGCTGAGGCTGGAGTCACCTCAAAATGTGACTAGGCTGGTTGTCCAAGATGGCTCACTCACATGGCTACAGTTGTTGCTCATAGTTGGCGGAGCTCAGTTGGGGCTGTCAACTGGGGCATACAGGCATGGACTCTCCTGTGGCTTGGTCTTCCCACAGCCTAGCGTCTGGCTTCCAAGAGTGAGTGCTCCAAGAGACAGGAAGCAGAAGTTGCCGGTCACTTAAGCCTAGAACCTGGGAGCTGGCACAATATCATTTCTGTCATATTCTATCAGTCAAGCAGTGACAGAATCTAGTTAGATTTAAGAGGACAGACAGAAACTCCATTTCTCAGTGGGAGGAAAATCAAAGATTTTGTGGCCATCTTTAGTCTATCACAATGCTTCTGGTGGACACCGTGTCTTGCAGGTGATTCACTCATTTTCACATTCTACATCCTTTTCATGAAAAGGACTCAATGTTGTGTGGTCAGAGGCCTTCTTCTACCTAAATTATCCACTTATGCATTCCAGATGGCATATGATTTTTAGTACAAATAAGATTTTAATGGCTATAAAGAAACAGTCAATGCTAAAATAGATGTAGCTACCTGATACATTCCTTAGTCACATAATAATATAACCAATGAGGCATCAATGTTTGAGATATGTTTTTTTCTCATGCTTTCCTACCCTAGCCCATAGAACTTCTTTTTATCAGTTCTAGCATAGATATTGAGTATTGTTCTAAAGATAGTAATAAAATCCCATTTTTTTCTTGGAATCCAATAGAAAAAGAAAACCTAGCCTTTTGGCTCCCTGAGCAGTGCCATGGCAATCTGAAGAACAAGCACCTTAAGAAAGGCAGCATAAAGGGAGCCAAGAAGAAAGTGATTGATCCATTTTATAAGAAAGATGGGTATAATGTGAAAGCACCAGCTGTGTGCAACATAAAAAATATTGGAAAAACACTAGTTATAAGAACTCAAAGAACCAAAATAGGATCTGATGTCCTCAATGGTCATGTTTTCGAAGTGAGCCTTGCTGGTCTGCAGAATGATGAAACTGGATTTAGAAAGTTCAATCTAATAACTGAGGATTTTAGGGCCCAAACTGCCTGACTAATTTCCATAGCATGGATCTTACCTGTGACAAAATGTATTCCATGGTAAAAAAAAAAAAAAAAAAAAAAAAAAAAAAAAAAAAGGCAGACCATGATTGAAGCCCATGTTGATGTCAAGATTACTGATGGTTATTTGCTTCATCTACTTTGTGTTGGTTTTACTAAAAACTGAGACAATCAGATTCGGAAGACCTCTTATGCTCAGCACCAACAGGTCCACCAAATTCAGAAAAAGATGACAGAGATCATGACCCGAGAGGTGCAGACAAATGACTTGAAAGAAATGGCCAATAAATTGATTGCAGATAGCATCAGAAAAGACATAGCATCAGAAAAGCCTTATCAGTCTATTTATCCACTCCATGATATCTTTGTCAGAAAAGTCAAAGTGCTGAAGAAGCTCAAGTTTGAGTTGGGAAAGCTCATGGAGCTTCATGGGGAAGGTAGTAGTTCTGGCAAAGCTGCTGAGGACGAGACCAGTGCTATATTGAACGAGCTGATGGATATGAGTCTTAAACAGTCCAAGAATCTGTTCAAAATTCAGACATTTAATGGTGACAAAAAGTCTTATGTGTGATGTTTAATTATCGATTATTCTTTTTAAATAATCTAAGCTTGGTGAATTCGATGTTCCAATGTGAACTTCTCTGAGTTGTTGTTTGGATTTTATCCATTGCTCTTAGTTACTAAAGAGCTCTGAAAGGGTAGCGATCTATTTTAAGCTGTAGTGATCCGGATGCAAGTTTTATAGATAGTTAATAAAATCTTTTCTTTTTTTAGAAAAGCCATAAGTTGATTATAGATAGCTGCAGAAAATATTTTTAAGATGAAAATGTTGATGAAATAGTTACTAAAATCCAGCTTTTGAGAAAGATCCAGATTTCTCTCTCGATTGTAATAGTTCATTACATTTGCTCTGAGAATATCAGACTGGCAATAACAAATGCACAATTTTCAAAATAGAGATAAATGTGAGCTTGATTTTAATTGTTAGGAAAATTAAAAAATAGAAAAACCTTAAATGTGTGTTTATTTTTTTCTGATGATGACATCACATATGTCCACTGTAGAAAATCTAGAAAAAATCTAAAAGTTTAAGATAAAAATAAAAATCACTATAATCATGCCATTCAAAGATAATAAGTATATTTTTATTGTATTTCTTTCTAGGATTTCAAAATATTTATATATTAGATATAAAATATGATACCTATAACTTTGCTTATATTGTGACTATAAATCCTACCATTTTGCCATTAAAGTTAAATTATGAACATTTTTCCATTTTATCAATTATTTGAAATTTAAAACCTACATGAAATAATTTATCACATGGATTATCATAATAAGTTATGCAGTCCTGAACTCTAATATTTTGCTATCATAATTAAATGTGGTGATGACCACTTATGTTCAAAAAACTACAGATGGTTTCTTAGTTGCAGCATCAAATTTGACAAAGTTTTTCACTGAACCCTTATTTACACGATGGAAAACTGTGGGTTGGATGAAAGCTCCAATTGGTACAATCCTGGATAGTTAAATAACGTATTCCAAAGCTATTGGTCAATGCATCTGTAGGAAGGTCTGCAGAGGTCTTCCATGAAAAGTATTTGTCAGTACCATTTTCCAAATTTTTAATAAAGAACTTGGAAGAACACAGTCACTGTTATGGTTATTTTATCTTTGTTTTCCTCCAGGTCTATTTTCTGCCTTTCTCTGCTCTCGTCTATGCCAGCGGCAGGGCTAATCCTTAAAGAAGAGGTCTTGTGTCCTACCTATATCTCCTGGAACCCTGTGACAGCCTTGAGGACAAGCTCAAGCTAGCCTACTGGAGGATATAAATCCTGTGGAGGGAAGCTGAGTAATTTCAGCTGAGGCCATCCTACACGAGTCAGACTCTAGCTAACCACCAGCTGAAGGCAGATGCTTGAGCAAGCCCAGTCAAGATCAGAAGAAACAAGCCACGGTCACTGTAACTGACCAGCTGAACCCAAATTCATGGGAAATAAAAAAAAAAAAGTGATTCTTTAAGGTGATTGAGTTAGTTTTGTTTTTGTTTTTCTTAACACAGCAATAGCTGCATAGCCCTATATTTGTAAATGAACAAAATTGGATAGAATAGCTAATAGGTAGCCCACTTTGGAATGATGGACCATACAAATTGCAAGAAAAATTTAAAAGGGGACAAATGTATAATTCTGACCAGGTGCTTTACTTGACTAAAAGCTCATTAAAAACTATTAGGCTACTCTAAGACCAACAGTGTCCAGATATAAGGATATAATGTTTTCCTTTATATTTTTAGCAGACTCTCTCTGGAGCCATTGGTTAAATCCAGGGGCTGGTCTAGAGAAGGATAATTAGAATGTATCTAGAACTCATGCCATATGGAGCAAGTGCTGTTGAACTAGTTGGTTTAATTGCTTACTACCAGTCTGCAACAGGGTAAAAAAGCTTCTGCACAATGTAAAACAACTCTATCACTAAACACATTGTTTGATTCAGGTAGCTTTATTTATTCATAGCAATGTGTTTTCAGTGAAGTATGTTGATTTATGTTCTGGTGCAGCACCTTATCTTGTTGTGGACCTAAGGTTCCCAGAGGTAAGAAAGAGTCATGGACTAATACTGGTCCACACACTGAATACCTCTGAAATAGAATGGTTGAATAAACTCAGGTTGCCTATCTAAGGAAAAACAAAACAAACAAAAACAACTGAAAATGAAAGCAGAACCCAATAATCGTGGTCCTGTTGTCAATATGTTAAATGAAGAGTAGATTTACTCTACATGTTTGCAGAAAGAAAAATGAAAGAATGAGGGAACAAAGGAAATAGCTTTCAGCTCATTACAGAGAATATTTTAAGAATAAGAAAACACTACAGAAAAAGAAACTGTATACTGCCCTTATTCCTCACTAGAAATATTTACTATAGGGTAAAGGAAGAATTAATTAATTAATGTCTTCCATTTCTATGATTTAAACATTGTCTTTTTGTGTCA